AGGACTTGAGGTGAGTGCTCCAGACAAAATGATGTGGTGAAGTCAAGGTTGGAAGATTCCTCTGACAATTCTGTTTAAGGTGTTAAGTTGCTCTGGGGAAAAGAAAGAATAAACTTATGTGATCTTGCTGTGACTGGCTACATTCTACAGTTAAGTGAATACATGAACAAGTGACTACTTTAGTGAAGACACAAACAGGTTGATGCTCTTTTTATTCTCCTAATAATGTGTCTTGCTTCCAATTTGGGCCGGTCTTGTTCCCACAGGTAAAAGCAGTAGCCAAAATAGACTCATACAGATACTGTTACTTTGGGAGCACATGTCTATCGATAGGGTCAGAAAGGACAGAATAGTGAGATCACAGGAGAGTCTTTTCCTCCTCTCCACTGGTATACTTGTAAGTTTTCTTGTCAACCTTTCCTTCAGTCCATTTTGACGCTTGATGTGAAGAAACTATCTCACACCTGCAAAGCTTTGTACTACAGGCTTTTTAATAAGACTTCAAGCAAGGATGCTGCTTGTACTGATTGATTTGTGATAGGGAAGCTTTTCTTATTAGGAGCTAAAAGCCAACCCCAGATTTATTTTTACATAGGTCATTATGTAGTTGCTGAAGGATAACTTTTGATTAATGGCAGTAAGATAATTGGGACCATCTGACACAAATGTGGTGAAAGGCCACCCTAGCTTGCAGCACCTGATCTTCCTCACTACTCTGTCCTAAACAAACGTACCTTTTGACACTACCTAAAGGCATTTACAAATCCATCTGTACTTTGGTCATGGTGGTGTAACTTTTCAGGTTGTAACCTCAGGGCTAATAATTCATAGTGGTAGGCTTCATCTGGTATCTCTGGTCTTTCAGAATTGTCATTACCTTGATAGAAACATAAGCTAACGTCGTCTGTCTCCCGTTACCCTGAAGAAGTGACCAGACTGTTCTGACCTCGTTAAAACTACAGAAGTGTCTCCTTGGAGATAATGACTCAATCTTCTGAGATTACTTTTTCCATATATATTTTTTTTTCCTTTGTGGCTAATTGCTACTTTACTTCAACAAAGACAGAAAGGGCTTTCATTTGAAAGGTTTCCTGCTTGTAATCAAGAATGCTGCTTTCCTGTAGTTTTTTAAAAAAGGGAAAAAAAAAAAAAGCTGAACTTGTGAAAAGCCAGTCCTTGTTTAATGCTGTGTCTCCTTAAGGTCTTTATCAGTATCACAAACTGCTTTGTGTTTCTCCCTATTTCAGCAGAGGATTACTTTGGTTCACATTAATTGTGACGTGGTTTTGGTCTTCCAGTAAGCTATGGAACAGCTGTAAAAAATGAAAACAAAGTATGATTTAAGATAAAAAGTTTTGTTACCATGCCAGTGCTGTTTTCCTTCCATGTTAGTGAAAGGGTCACAGCTGCCTTAGAAATGTGTAACTGAAAGAGACCACCGGAGTTTGAAAGTAATATCTTGTTCCTCCCAGTCCTCCTTCCACACTGCAGACTATTGAGTAGTGAAACTTCAGTGAAAGAAGTCTTGGAAAAAAGGTCAGAGGGAACAGATCTACAGAACAGATATTTTGCATTTTCATATTCTTTGAAGTGGTGAGTGACACATGAACCTTTGTCCTGTCTGCTTTGATTGGTAATGCCGTCATACAAGCAGATGGTGAGTTGTCTCTTGGTTCTCCCTTCTTCCATCATCAGTAGGAAACCATGTCCTTCTTTGCTGCGTAGGCTCCAAGGTGTGGTGCAAATAGTTGATTTGGATAAGGATAACGGACTCCACACGTATCTCAAAGTGACATCTTAAGTACAGGAGTGGTCTGATTTTGCAGTAAAGAAAAAAAAAGCTTGTTAAACCAAAGAAAATTAGGTCTTTGCTTCTTATCTCTTCAGTGCTCTTGAATTCTCAGCCTTGTATTCTGTGATCCTATTGATCAAGTAGGAAGAAAGGGAATGCCTTGCCATACTTTGACTTTGTGTTTGCCCAACAGTGTATATATATTCTTTATGAACAGAGTTTTACCCTGCAGCAGTATGAAGCTGCAGGGCATATTCCTGTACACACTGGCACTGAGCAGCAGAATTGAAGCTGAGCACTCTCAAGTTTGTTTGATTTGGTGAAGTAGTGGCACTGTTTCAAGTTTGGTTTTAATTCTCCTCTTCCCTCTCCACAGGAGAGTGGTATTGTCCCAACTGCAGGAAAGGGAGCTTCCCACCTCTAAGAGCTAGAAATCTTGTTCTTCTTTCTGTGCTTCCTCTCTGCCATAGAGTTCCTTGTGTGTGCAGTGTTTATTTCATCATGATCAGAGAATAACACGATCACTTGCACAAATTTAGCAGTTTGTAGATACAAAATAGATTATGTAGCGTGTTGTGTGGAATTGGTCATCTTGGTTCACCTTACTTAAGAAATCTGGGAAAGTCCTTTATTGTAGTGTCTTGCAAGAAATTCTTACTTTCAGCTACTTGTGGCCTACTTCTGGTATTTGCATGTATGCACCTCCTCAGAGCCGTGTAGGAATAGAAATTACTTGTAACACCTTTCTTGTTCTACTTACTTCTGTTAATCAAATAAAAAAACAATAAGCAAACAACAACTTCTGTTATTTTGTTTCTTGACGCAGTATTCTAGGGAGCCTCAGCAGCAGTTTATACTATATTCTTACTAACAGATTCAATGAGGCTGGCTCCTTTCTTGTTGGCTTGATTGACTTCTCTATTCCCATATCTTTTTGCACTTTAACATGTCAGGATTTCCTTCTACTGATAAAGTACGTACTGGAATCAGGGCTGCAGTGTAGGAACAAAGGAGATTTTAGTATTTTGCTTGTGACTTTCATAAAATAAAATACATAAACCATCTCCATTAAAATGTCTGGATTCATGAAGGGAAGGAAAGAAAAAAGGAAAGACTTTTCCTCCAGCAGTGGCTTGATTAATGGATTTATTGTTTATACAGAGTTTGTCAGGAAGCCATATGGCTTGAGGAAAACAAAGAGGAAGTGGCTGATGTTGGGAATCTGATTTAATAGGGGTCCCTAAGGACAGAATGTGGCTCTTATCCTTATTCCTTCCCACTCAGTTTGCAAAGTGGTCTGAGAAGAGCTTTACTGCTTCAATAGAGCTAAAGAGAATGTGTCTTTGTTTGAGTGGACCCTACTGCTGGACCAGCATCGCAGCTACTCCATCCTAAGGTTAAAAATCCACTATTCTTTGCCTGTTGTGTAAAGAATTCTGGAGTAGTAACAAGGAGTAGTAATGGTGTACTTGTATCTGGCAGTTGATCAGTTTCCAATAGATAAAGACAACTTCAGCATCTTGAAGCTGAGCTCTTATAGTTTGTGGTGAGATATTCACTCACTGCCTCTCCCTCCACCAGCATATTCAAGCATATATGTCTCTGGATTAACTGAGTCACCATCTGTATTCTACAACCAGACTTATTTTCTTAATCTAATGTATATGTGGGTATTGATAAGTAACTGGAGTTCAAGTACTGTTGCTTTAACCTTATGTGGTGGATTAAAGAAATGGTCAGCATTTTCTAAGACCGTTTGACTCTACTATGTGGTGAATACACCCAAGCAGAGAATCTAAAGCAATATTCTATAATGTAGCTGCAAGCAAATACATTAAGAATGCTTAACAAGCACTTTTTCCTTATATGAAATCACAGCTTCTCAGCTGAGAGGCATAAATTCACCGAAAACTGGTTATGGTAATTTCAGAGTTAAAATAAAAGGCTCATGTGAACCACTAGTAATTGTTAGTAGGTCAACAGAGTGCAAAGCACAAAACATAACACAAAAACATATTCTGGCGCCTGAGGAATTTAATGAATATTGGTTTGTGAGTGACAGCTACATTTTCAGCCTGTGGTGGGGAAAATGATTTGATACGTACCTGAGTTCTCTGGAGCTGCTGAATATCCCATTATTGAGAAGTAATTCCTATAGGGCTTTGATGCATAGTGTGTGTGGTGTAGTATTTTACAACAGGCGAGTCCTTTCTTTTCCGATCTTTAAGAGGTTTTTGTTGTTTTCCAGACCCTTAGAACATGCTTATGACAGAGTTGGTGCATATTGAGTCTTTTCCTGTAGCTCTGACAAGTACTAGGAGGAAAACAGTTCGTCTTGTGCAAAATTCAGTGGCTGATAGCAGTGGAAGAGGAGATACTAAAAGACTAGAGGAAAGATTTTCCTAATTTAGTTCTATTCTTCTATGCTTCTGTCAAACTGAAAAGTTCCCATTTAGTATTACACTTTTAGATACGTTCCTTTAAAATATAATTCAGAAAGCATTTGGTGGTGAAAGTTTTAAAAATAACCACTTCTCACATGTTTTTGGCTTTGACAAAGTACTAGGCACTGTTTGTAAATCTGTCACAATGATGCTGTTAAACATCACTGTAGTAAGCATCCTTCCAAGCTGATTAACGTTACTCTTAATCAGCAGTTTGGGATTTGTTACCCTTTGCCTAGTTTGTTTGACTTCATGTGCATGCATTGGCCATGATTCATTGCAGCAAGGGAGTCAGGGTATGCAGTTTGAGAGCTCTTGGAGATTTTCTCATCTGGAATGCCTCCAGTTTGAGGATTATTTTCCTTAAAAAGAAAATTAAGGAAGAAGATTATTTCACAGTCTCCTGTATTTGTAATTTAGCAGTGATAGATGCTTGTGATTACCTAATACAGTGCTTAGGTTTTTTTCTAATGTTCTCGAAAGCCGTTGAAATGTTGTTTACCACACTTAGTTATTTATAGTAGGAAAGTCACACCCGGTATAAGAAACAGCAAATGAAGTGAAGTATCCTAGATTGCTTTTGAACCCTCTTTTAACAAATTAAATACTGTTTCTGTATAACAGGCTATTATATATTACCTGTAGGTGCTAGGTGAACACTGTATTTTCCGAAGCATTAAAGGGAGGAGGAGGATAGGGCTTTCTTTACCCTCAAGAAGGCAGTTTTAGTAATGTGTAGTGATGTCTCAATTTTTGTCTTCTAGCAGCTGAGCTTGTCAGCAGCATTGACACCTATGCCTGGAGTGGGAGATTGCGCTGAGCTGACGTCTCTGTCTACCTTCATCTGCAGGTAAGAAGTTATTACCAGAACACTTCAAATAAGAGTTTTTCTTCTTTCTTCTGAAACTAGTTGCACGTAAAGCATGCCATGAGCTCTAAAGCTTAAAGAACTTCGTAAATGCATACTCATTACTCCCCTAACCTGTCTCTGGGGAGTGTGCCCTGAATGAGAGGAGACTCTTGGCCCTGGCTCCTCTAATTTTCAGGTCTTCTTGGGCAGCAGCTCTCAGTGCCAGCAACAGCTGCCATGTAACTTGTAGGTTAGACAATCAGCACATGGGTTTGGGGATTCCAGGCTGCAGCTGTACCGTAGATGTGCTTGGAGCAGAGGGCCCCGATTCCCTTTGGTTCCATAGAGTTCCTTGCTTCATTTGGGGAGAGGGACATTTTCTTCCCCCTTCAAATAAAGTTCTGCAGAAGTACTGTAACGGTTTAAAACACCCCCACCCCAAGCAATCCTGCAGTCCAGCTCTTTCATGTTCTTAATGTGAGCATTCACTTGGAACACAGTGCTGGATATAAGGTGGTCTGATAGCTCAGCAAGTCAGACTTTGCCAAAAATCCAGAAGAGATGTCAGGGAATGAAAATAGTAGCAGGTAATGTTTTTCTTGACAAAGTGATTATTTTCTTATAGAGGAGAATTATCAGAACTTAGAATTCAATGCTATAAAAATATATAGTATCAGATTATGCATTGGTATTACTTTTCATATTGCTTTGATTTCTTTATGGGTTTTTTTTTCCACAAGTTCTCCTTTTTATGATGTAAATGAAACTGGTGAAGCTTGTCTGGCTTGTCGCAATTTACAGACTTTGCTTAATGCTATCTTGTCATAGAATCATAGAAGAGTTAGGGTTGGAAAGGACCTCAGGATCATCAAGTTCCAACCCCCCTGCCATGGGAAGGGACACCTCGCTCTAAACCATATCACCCAAGGCCTCCTCCAACCTGGCCTTGAACACTGCCAGGGATGGAGCATTCACAACCTCCCTGGGCAACCTATTCCAGTGCCTCACCACCCTAACAGGAAACAATTTCCTCCTTATATCCAATCTAAACTTCCCCTGTTTAAGTTTTAACCTATTACCCTTTGTCCTATCACTACAGTCCCTAATGAAGGGTCCATCCCCAGCATCCCTGTAGGCCCCCTTCAGATACTGGAAGGCTGCTATGAGGTCTCCACGCAGCCTTCTCTTCTCCAGGCTGAACAGCCCCAACTTTCTCAGCCTGTCTTCATACGGGAGGTGCTCCAGTCCCCTGATCATTCTCGTGGCCCCCTCTGGACTTGTTCCAACAGTTCCACGTCCTTTTTATGTTGAGGACACCAGAACTGCACACAATACTCGAGGTGAGGTCTCACAAGAGCAGAGTTAAAGGGGCAGGATCACCTCCTTCGACCTGCTGGTCACGCTCCTTTTGATGCAGCCGAGGATACGGTTGGCTTTCTGGGCTGCAAGCGCACACTGATGGCTCGTGTTCATTTTCTCATCGATCAGGACCCCGAAAGGCCTTATCCACAGGGCTGCTCTGAATCTCTTCTCTGCCCAGCCTGTCGCTGTGTCTGGGATTGCTCCGACCCAGGTGTGTCCTAGGTACATGTCATCTTTTAAGTGGCTAGACTTCTCTACGAGTCACACCTCCTTCTGCATTTTTTTTTGTCTAGAATACCATCTTAGAACTCTCTTCTACTGCAAATGCAATATTTGTAGTAGTGTTCTGTTGATAATTGAAGCAGGTAAGGGACCAATACAACTAAATAGAATAATATACTTTGGTCATTTGCCAAAATGATCACAACCATAAATAAAGGTACAGTAGCTTGTTCTTATTACAGGCTTATTACAGTTTGTTCTTATTACAGGCTGAAGCACACCATCACTGGGGCGCGTCCAGCCCTGTAAGGACAGGCAGTTAAGATTACATGTCTGAAAATACTTACTTTCATTGTCTTTACTAAGGTGTAGAATGTTAATTGATAGATATATATATATATGCATGTATAAAATGCAGTCTGTAGATTATATAGGAGCTTTGCTGAAGTGTAGCATATGTGTGTATGAATAGATACATATGTACAGCATTAAAAATGCTGTGTAGCCTTGGAGTCTAGCTTTAGAGGCTAACACTGCCTTAAATTGTTTTGTATTTGGGAGGTCTTTTGGTTATTCATTGAAGTACTTTCAGTCTCACATTCTAGGCGTGTTATCTGTCTGTTTCATATAAATCAGTTTATCACTTCTAAAGCAGGCACTTACAGAGTATTAATTGCTGCCCACAACCAACATCTGCTAAAGAATATGATGATTCTATATGGTACAGTAGTACAAGCAATGAAGATAATCCTGTTGACTTAAACAGCATGCTGAATTTGTAAGACACTGGTCTCTGTATTTTTCACAGCCAGAGCATGCATATATATATATATATATATATGTATATGTATATGTATGTATGTATGTTAACCTGTAACTCCAGGAAACTGAGAATGTGGTGGTATTGAGTCAGGTTTTCTTCTGCCAAGTTAAAACATGTTAAGTATTTATTGTGACTATATTTGAGTAAATTCCTTTCAGTGGAGCAAGTCTGTGGCTAGCTGCCAGGTGACTAGATTGTCAGTCCTTTGTCACTTTAAAACACATCGTATGAGTTATGCTATTTTAATGATTTTCTTGTATGAAAACAAGAGGTATCGAGGTTCCTGCTGAAGATTTGTCAAGGTGGTGCTTGCCCATCCTCACAGGGGGAGTACCTTCACTTGTATTGAGTAAACCAAATTTTTCTTTATGAGCATCGCTAATCTAATTTGCAATTATGTAACTTCTTTTTGCTGTCTATTTTGGGGCATGAAACAAAGGATCAGCCTATCGTATGTGGTTTATTAAAACACTTCTGCCCTGCTGAAATAATTTTTTGTACTTTCAGAAGAATCCAGTTATATTCGTTACCAATCAATAAATAAAATCACAAAGAAAACCACTATTATACCCATACATAAATCTGTGGTACCCACGTGTTTTGAATTGGCTTTGCAGTTTGGTTCCTTTATCTCAAAGAGAAGAGAGGAGAACTGAAAAATGCTTAGAGGAGGGTAGTGAGAATAATGAGAGATGTGAGCAATTTAGCAACCTAGGACTTTTCAGTGCAAAAGAAAAACATCTCAGTATAGGAGGAAAGCCTACAAAATGATGAACAAAATGAAGGAAAGCAGGACATAACTTTATTCACTCTGACAACACAAGAACCAGTGGACATCAGATGAAGCTGTAACAGAAAACTAGTTCAGAGCAAACAAAAGGCAGGTAATGCTTCATAATGCAAGATTTAGATCTGTGGAACTCCATGCCAGAAAGCTGTAAAGACTAAAAAGTGGAAGAGAGATCCTGAATATAAGTCATGCCTGTGAATACTGGAGTTGGAAGCAGACGAAAGCTCACAGGGCTTTCAGGAGATCCTTGCAGTCTTTTGTCTTTCCCTCAGCATTTGCTGTGACACCTTGTTCTCTAAAACTCTTAACCCATGAAAATAAAATGTCTAACATTTCTTATCTTCTAGCTTACTGAAGCAAGGTCTCAATCTTTTCCACAACAGCATCAGCCAGGGTTTCATGTGATGCTCCATGTTCCTCCAAAGAGGCACTACTCTTCACACTTAGGCTATTTCTTCATGGAAGTCATGTGGGAGAGCTCCTCCATTTCTTGTGCTGAGACTTCATAGTGATGCAAACTGTATCTGTATGAATGCCAGGTCACAGCTTTTGAACTTTTCACTAGCAAAGGTGGGCTGCTGCTAGTCAGAATAAATGTGCATTATATGACCAGATGGTGAAGAATCTGTCACCCCCAAGGGGAATGGGTTTTCCCTCAGCAGCTTCAAAAATCTACCATATAAAGTCAGTATTAGTGATGAATACCAGTTGGAGATAGATTTATAGGGCTAGCTAGACATTTGGCCTTGGTTCAGGATGCTGCCTGTTAGGATCTTCTGGTGTTGTAGATTCTTTGGAATTGTCTGTACAGCTTTGGAAAGTAGTAGTTCAGGACAAGTTGAGGGTTTGTTTTTTTTTAGGAGCAATCAGTAGTCCAGAATCCTTATACTTTTCCGGAAAGCGTTCAGCTGATAAATCAGAATTTCAGTCATGTCTCTTATTTGATTTCAAAACAGAGGAGTGACTTCCTTTGAGAAATTTTTTCTTATTCCACTCCTTAAACTTTACATATGAAAAGTGAACAAAAATAGACCTGCTTGAGAATATTAAGAAAATTCCTTAGACTTTTTCTTTGTTCAGTGTGGATCTAATGGCTTTCTAAAGCAATTTAACTTACATGAAGTCTTAAATACAGTTGACAAAACCTTTGTTCCAAGAGACAATTCAGAAGCTTTCACTAGTAGCAGTCATTTTTTTTTTGGAGCAGCGACACTGCGTTGTCTAGGAAGTTTAATAAGCAAGAAAACTAACTTTGTTGCTGTTTGATCGTGAAGACTTCATTTGTACCCTGCAGCTGTGAGTAACTGCTGAAGTGTTTTGTGGCCTGTGTTCTTCGTGATGGAGATATCTTTTGACCTTCTGGAGCTGGAGAGATACTTCTGCTCCTGGATAGACTAAAAAACATGACTATGCTCCCTTCCAGAACCATATTTTTGTCATGTAAGCAGGGTGGAATTTGTTTTTGTCAGAATGTCCAAGGTCATGATTTGGAAAAATACCTCATTCATAGATCTCACAATTTTCCCCTGTCATCTTTGCTGGTAGTATCTTGAGGAATAAATGAAGAGATGGGACAAGTTCCTGGGTGCTTTCTGAAATGATCTGTAGTTAAGGGAGAGTTTTTCTCTGACATGCCAGGAAGTTCTGGTAGAGATGAGAAATAATCTCAAAGGAAACATGCTTTTTTCTTACATTTTCATTGCTTCTCTTGCATATTTCAGCTTTGTGTGTATACACCTTTCTCATACTGTCTTTTGGTTGTGTCACTACAAGAGAAAAAACAGATTGCTTTGACAGGGTTAT